TCTCCAAGATTACTGACCACCAACTGGTGCCTCTGTGCTTGCTGGATCAAGTTTATATCATCCATTGTGGGATTCATCCCTAAACCACTTGTTGGTCCAAACATCCAGCATCACAATCTAAACACACCTCCTGAGTTCTCCTTCATCAATTAAAACAACCTTATCAGGTAACTTTCATTTATAATGGCATATTATAGCACGCGGTAAAAAAGCTCAAGCTACGACTAATGAAAGGACACAAAGATTTCCAACAACTTATTCAGTTTAAGCTGGCAAAATGAAGTGACCGCAAGAAAGCTGAAGGTAGCTATTAGGTACTGAGAAAATGAAAAGAATAAGAAAAAGACATGACAAACCTGAAAGATACAAATTCTAGTTGTTTCTCCCTCACCTACTACTACCAATTTAGTTTGACTGACACATAGGTTGGCGGATAAGTACACAGAATCAATCACAAGTCAAAACCAGCTGTGCAACTGCATACCCAACAAAGAGCATCTGTGTAATGACGATAACCCATTTTTATTCTTTGCCCAAAAAGAAGATGAGAAACAAAATCACCCGACCACCTAGACATGAATGCAATCTATATATTTTGCCTAAGAAGAAGTCAAGCCATTGTAAACTCCAGGAAATTCTATTGCCATAAGGTGAATTCCGATCCATTTCATAATTCAGGCCACTAGATAATCCTTTCAAATTTTCCAAGGAAAACGCACAAAATACATACATGTCAGTACACGCGGATAGGAATAGCTGTAGGTAGCCATTTATAGATCGAGACAAGCACTAAGCAACTTAAATCAGTAATTCAATTCCCAAGCCCCACAACCACGCAAGGGCGAATGACCCAGATTCCTTGTCTTCTCTACTTCTTCGCTTTCACCGGAATTAACAGAAAATTCACGGCATCAACACTTAAAGACCATAATTAGGTAATCACTCAATTCAGCTCAGCAGTAAATTAGTAGCAACCGTAACCACAACCAAGAAAACAACCCAAATTATCCAATATCCACAACTTCCCATACAAAATCACGACTCCAGGCTGAAATTTTGATATAGTTCAGCCCGGAAGTATTTTCTACACCCTAGAAGTTTAAATCAAGAGAAACCACGACTTACCTGTTAAATTGAGCATAAAAATGAACTTTGCAGGAGGATAGTCAAAAAGTTGCGGCCTCTGAAACTGGTACTTCTAGTACTTCCCGTCTCTGAACTAGCTCTATATATAAGTGAAACAAGAAGAAAGAGAAAAATCAGAGTAAAAATGGGATCGTCAGACTCGATTCTTCACTGATTCCCTTGTTCGTAAATCTGCTGAACATAATATCTACGAATAGAAATTTTTTTTTTGTAAGAACTGCTTTGGTTTATAATCTGTGAAAACATTATAAATTTTATTAATTAAATATATTAATTTAATTTGTTCTCAAATTTTCAACCAAAAAAATAAATACTTTTTTAAAAAATCGAAATAATACATATTAATTACGTCATGATAAATAATTTGTATTGCGTTGCTTGACGGCTTAAGAAATATATGGAAAAAAACTCAAATAATTATTTTGTCAATAAATATATAAAACTAAAATATATAATAAAAAATTTGTACTCAAAACAATAAGCATATATTAAAAAATAAGTATAAATATATAATATTATGTTCATAATTATTCAAAAGTACAAAATATTCCAAACTCTTTTTTAATATATAAATCGAAATAATTTATTATAATAATATCTTTTAAAACAAATTATTAAAAATTTTATATTTGAGTATTATCGTATAAAATATAATATATATATATGCATATGTTACCTTTAATAATTTATAAACATATTTTTTATAAAAATATTACAAAAATTAAAAAATTATTGATTACAATAATTTGTTATAATTATTATTAGATATCCTATAGTTGAACTATATTATATACAATTGACATGTTAATGAATATAATTTCGACTATACATTATGATATACATCTTGTAATTGAATATATTATATATTATCTATATTTATATTACATATAAATAAATAAATATGTAATATAAAATTAAAAAACTAACTATTACAATATAGTGTAAATTAAAATATTATAAGTAATTTATATATTAATAAATTTATCACAATCATTAAATTTAGTTTATATATAATTTTTTATATTTTAATAAATATATATTTAATTTAATATTTATCTATAATATAATTAGGAATAAAATAATTTCATGAAGAAGTTGACAAAGTAAAAAATAAAATAAGTTTTGTAAATCCATATCGGATTCTGAAAATTTAAAGTTGTCTCTTATAAAGTTTTACGAGATCTATTATCGAGCCTACTCATTATTACTCATACCAATAATTAACATGAAATCGAGAGTTCTATTATTATAGTTTTTAGTAATACTTTAAAACACTATTTATTTTTCAAAATTATTACGTATAAAAAAATTTTAGATACGTACTTTTTTTGTTGAATAATTAAAATACATAAAAAATGTTAATAAAATAAAAAAAATTCACTCCAATTTACATATCTCACTCCAGATTACGACATATCATAATCAAGCTCGAGATAAATAGGAGATTTTAAAGAAACATTATAGTCTTTCATCAAATTATCTTATAACGAATAACTATATTAAAAGATTATTATAAATAATTTTTTTTGAATTTTATGTATTTTTAACTCAGTACAAGTGACGTATAATTTAATCATCTAGTAATTTGTTGTGCAATAATAAATTCTACAAATATTGTGATATATAATATCAATAGAGAAGTCACGACGTTATATTTTATGTAAAATATTAAAATATATATTTTTTATTATAATTTTTAGTTAAATGTTATAAAATGTTAATATTCATATCTATTAATTATGTGCAAAATAATTAATATTTAATGGTTAAACACCGCACTAATTAATACTTAATTTAATTTTGGCAAAAATAAAATGATTAAAAATTAAATTCGTAAATTAACTAAAAGTATTTTATTTTATTATTATTATTATTTATTTATTTATTTTTAAAAAAAGCAAGCACAAAAGAACAAGCAGTCAATGCTAACTCCCTTCTGCCCCGGTTTTCCCCCTTCTTCCTTCTCTACCTGCTCCTCCGCCTCTACCAAAACCATCTTCCACACACAGAACTACCTGTTTATTTATATATCAGCATATCTCCAAATATATGCCAGATTAATACACCGGGCAGCAAATCAAAGCAAAGCCAAAAAATGTACGGAGGCTCGTCAAAACTCGGTCGAGGAGGAGGAAGGGGCGGCGGCGGAGGCCCTCGGAACCGTAACTCCTTCCCCCCGCCGCCTCCTCACCGGCCTCCCATGGCTACCGGCCGCCTATCACTAGGTGGGTCCTCCGCCGGTCCTCGTCATCGTGGTACTAGCAGCGCCACCGCGCCAGCAGCGAGGGCACCGCCCGCTGTTGAGGAGACCTTCAGCCTTGTGTCTGGAAAGAATTCGTTAGCTTTTGGCATGATCATACGGCTGGCTCCGGACTTGGTGGACGAGATCAGGCGGGTTGAGGCACAAGGAGGCACCGCCAGGATCAAGTTCGATCGTTTTGCCAATAATACGAGTGGAAATGTGAGTTCACTTGCTTTATCAATTTCAGAAAGTGGAGTTGTTGACTTGTGCGTTATCTTCTGTAGGGCAATCCTCCAATTGGGTTTTTCGTCGTTGGGGTTGTTCTTTTGTGTTTTATTTTTTTCTACTTGCTTTTGTTTGATTTGTGCCTTTTTTACGTACTTGTTTGGTTTTCAAGTGCATGTGTTGTATTCACTTCCATTTTCAGTGTTTCTAGTGACTGATTTAGGCTGTTCTACTCCTCTCCACTTGGTGTTAGCTTCTTTGTTTTTCATTATCTGATTGGGGATCCTTGAGTTTGGGTTTTTATTTGCCTGTATTCAGTTGGGTTATGTAATTTTGGTGAGCTTGAACTTCGGTTTTGTGCTTCTTCAGGTGTTTCCTTTTTATTTTCTCCCGTCAGTATTATGGTGTTTACTTTCAGAAATTCTATTGAATTTGTGCTATGCTTGTTGGTCTCTTCAAAGTGGGCATTAGCCTAGTTTCATTTAAGCTGGCAAATTGTTGGGTTCTTCAGTTTGTGCATGTGCACTTTTGTTTTTCAAATTGGTATAGCTCGCCAAGTCTCTTGTTATATGGAGACAATTTTATGAATTTTTTCATTTTCTTGAGCTGGTGTTCAATAGGATTACAGGGTTCTTTCCATTATCTTTGTGATATGCATTGTGTTCTTTTGAATTTGAGAGTACATTTTTCCTGCTACCAAAAGTTTGGGATATGTTTAACATTGACATTATAGTGGGGAACTTAGCATATAAGTACAACTAAGCCCTTAAGTTATGCAAATGCTTAGAACAAAAGCAAATGGGAAGTAATCATAGTCCTTGAGTTGTTACTTATGTAGAAGAATTATTAATTTAGTTGAATAGAATTTTCTTTTTATGTATGTCATCCTAATCTATACTGTTTTAATGGTATAGATAAGCTTAGGACTTTGGTAGCATTAGGGTTTTATTTACGTCAAAATTTTTGTAGGGGTTGATTAGGATTTCTAGTCATAGGTTAGGATGAATAAAGTCCCTACAAATAATCTTGTGATGTCTCTAACGAGGACTCATTTTTCAATATTTTAAGAGAAAAAGATGAAAATAATTTAACAAGGCACCAAGTGAGGTGCCACTTGATAGCAAAAAGGAGATTTACCATTTTCATAAGATATCTACAATGTGTCCTTGAGTTTCTCAACATATATGAGGATGACTCTTGGTGAACAGTTTTTTTCCTATGCAAGAGGGAGACGGAATCTTGCAATCACATCATTTTTTGGTGATTGCTTGTGTATAGGTTATGAACCATGACTTACGGGTTACTGGGAATTAGTTGGGTGATGACTGGTTCGGGAGAGGTATTAGTAGAGGGAA